CAGTTTTTATGCGTTTTTGCTTATATGCAAATTGCAAAAGCGCATGTTGCAACGTCTGTGTGTGTTTGTGTGTGTTCATCTGTTCGGGTATTTCAACTCGGCAACCCAGCAAGCTCCGGCGCCAAAATTTTGCTAGTGGTTTCCCCGGCCACTTGCTACCCCAAAACCGCCGTACCAGCCCTTACGCAAGTCTGGGCTCCGCGTACGAGAGGGTGAAAGTTTTGGCGGGAAGATTGCTAACTCGGGAATAGGATAGGCTAGAAAGCTGAAATTTTGAGACTATGTTCCCCGTCCACATAGAACCCAAAGATTTTAAATTAAGCCGCCAGGTTTGTATGGTTCCCGCGTACAGCCCCGTAAGTGTTTCTGATGCGAAAATCACTAACTTGGGGACCGGGAGGCTGAAATTTTTAGCGAATGTTCCAAGCACGTGACCAATTTAAAGTTATAAAGTTCAGCCCCCAGGCATGCAAAGCTGTCACTTACGGCCCGGTGGAAATTTTTGGCAGGAAATTGGCTAACTTGGGAAGAAGGAAAGCTGGGAGACTGAAGTTTTCAGGGGATGTTCACAGCCCATATGTATTTATCAGAATCAGCCCCCAGACATGCGTGGTCTGCACGTACAGCCCGGTGAAATTTTTTAGGGTGTTGCAAAAGGAAGAAGGAGCGAATAGCAAGGAAACGAAGGTGGAGGCTAAGTTCCCTTCGCCTTGCCCTGTTGCCCTTCGGTTCCCTGTGATATGCAAATGTCCTTTCTCTTGGCTCGAGTTCCCTCCTCTTTGATATTTAATATGATGATTGGAAATGAAATTGTTATTGTTTTGTTTTTTTGAAATCTGAAAGTGCGCGGCGGCAGCTTGGAGCCATTGCCGCTTGAAACTGTTGTGTGTGTCCAGTAGCAGCTTGGAGCTGCTGCCGGGCGGATCCTGGGTTGGTGGTTTGCCTTTTTTAATTATGCGTTTTTTGCAGCTATGCAATGCAGAAGACGAATATTGATGAGGAGTTGTTTGTGTGTCCGTGTGTCTGTGTGTGCGTCTGTACCGATTTTTCATTTCAAGACCTACAAAAGTTACAGAGCTGAAATTTTGGGAACTTAATCTACATGCGCGTACGGGCCCCAATCCCCAAAATGGGCGTCCTTACCCGCATGGTTTCCACGTACGAGCTTGCCAAAATTTTTTTCGGGTAAATTCATAATTCGGGGATCTGAGAAACTAGAAGGCTGGAATTTTGGGGGGATGTTCCCCGTCCAAGCGGGTATTAACGAGCTCAAACCCTACCCGCGGGTAGGCGTGGTACCTACGTACGGGCGCGTGAAGGTTTCTTTCGGGTAAGTTGCTAACTCGGGAACGTGAGAAGCTAGAAGATTGGAATTTTGAAGGGATGTTTCCTGACAGTCCTGGCGGCCAGTCTGAAATTCTTTTAGCTAGAAGCATCTGCTGGAAAAACCAGTGCCGTTACCGACAAAAATCAGCGGGGAGCTATGCAAAAAACACACCTTCGCACGAGCAGCCCGTGCGTTGGCCAATTATTATTTTTTATGCGTTTTTGCAGCTATGCAATGCAAAAACGCATATTGTCGAGGGGTTGTCTGTGTGTATCTCTGTCTGTGTATGTATGTGTGTGTATGCGTGTCTGTGTGTGCGTCTGTAACGAGTTTTCATCTCGAGATCCACAAAAGCTACAAGGCTAAAAATTTGGTGACTTAATCTACACATACGTTAATCTACATATTTCCAACTACCACTGCATTTCGCTGTTCCTCTCCCCTCTTCCCCTTCCCCGTCCTGCCCTGGCCAGGACACCAATGACGTGGGCGGGCCACCTCCGTACCTCTCCCCCGGCCTAATTCACCGCCATTAGCAAGTGATGTGAATTCAAATTTGCCGCCTATCGTAACTGATCGTAGCCGTACGTCAGCTGGGCGCGCCGCGTTTGCAACGTCGATACATCTCACTTATTTCTTACGTGCAACCACTGGGCGGTGGTTGCGCGTAAGAAATAAGGCCGTATCACGTTAGCTGTGTTGCTCGCATCGCTGGCAGTCTATCGACGATTGCAACTGTTTAGTGTTGTTTACAACCGCGTGCGGGTACGATCAGTGCGGAAGGGTGTATAGGGGACTACGCGTGGTTTGAATGGTGACTGCGTGTGGTGTGCGCACCAGCTGCAATTGGTGTGTGCGACGACCGACTGCGTGTGGGTGTGTGGGACATGATTGGTACCACACAGCGCAATCGATTCATTGTACTTCCATTTGGCGCCTATACAGTATTTCATTTTGCTGGCAAATTCACTTGGAAAAAAGGATTTGGGGGAGTTCTGGATTTACATGGAAAAAACGTGCGTTATTTTATTACAAACGTGTTGTTGTACATTCGTACTCCTGTAGGCCTTTAGAAGGCAAACACAATGGATCTTTTTGAAGAAGTTACTGTTAAGCCCGGTATTCAAAGTGATGAAAGAGAGAACCGCCGCTAACTCGCAGATCGCTAGTAGCAGGAATGATCCCTGCGCTGTAGCCTAACACTTAGGCTCATATTCACCGTGCTTTGGCCTCTTCCGGCATGCAGGAGGAAGGGCGTGGCTTAGGATGAAGGTGGTGCATTATAGAGCCGCACGGACATCCAGTTGTATGATTGTCGGTTTTTTGCATGAAGTCCGGTCGTTTTTCCAGTAAATGCTCGCTTTGTGAAAATGTGACAAATGCAAATTTTTTGAAAAAATGCAAATTTCCAGTCCACTAAAAAGTGGAAGTATTGCTCGAGCGGTCATTTCTCATAAAAACCATGTATGCAAATTAACTAATATTCATTCACACATACGATTGCAGTTCGGGCCCGAGTTGCGATGGATTCCT